ACTCAAGGCAGAGTGAATTTACCAAACTACCCTGTCAATCTGTTTCACACCAGCACCGCCTCTGACCACACACACAAGACTCTTCTCACCTAGGGCACCGATAGCCGCTGAAGCGAAGGAGGCGATTCCATTTGCTGAACAGGGAAGAAGAATAGCTAAGCTTGCCATAAGCCAACGCCACCGGAGTGCACATCTGCGGCGACACTGCAACTCAGCGTCTGAAACACGACCGATCGTCAAGTACTAGTTGTTTTTCAATTTGTGTGTGTGTGTGTGCGCGCGCGCGCGCGCATAATACTGTGTCCTTCAACCCGATCTAGTGGGTTGATCTATGAAAGACATTGTTCTGGGTGATTCAAAATTTTCCTTCAATTTTTTGTACTTGTTTATGTTAATTTTTGTTTGGCATATGGGAAACCCACTGTTGTATGATGGAACTGACGCAAAAAACATGAACTGATGGACGCTCACTGATGCAAAATTGTAGTTTCTGATGATTATTGATGTAAAAAGAATTTTGTTTGTAAACGATTACTTTCGATTTTCTTCGTAAATTAGTGTCGGACGATTACTGATGGAAAAAAATTTCTGAAATTTTCTTCAAGAATCTGGTATTTTGTCCAGAAATCTGAAATTTTCCTCATCCTTTTCATTCTTGGCGCCAATTTTGGGATTTGCCCTGATTATCTTGAAGTGCTGTTCAGTTATTGTGGAAAGTAATCTACACAAATAGGAAAAGGAAGTCCCTGATTTCATGCCCCCAAATATTTTCTTCTGTAATAAACTCCGAACAAATAATTTAAGAAACTGTATTGTTCTTAACAGAAACTGAAATGAATGTTCTTAACAATTTTTTGTTAATGTAATGCAACAACCCTTAACAAACATTTGTTATAAAAATAAAAAATAAAAAATAAATAAAAAAAAAAATTGTTTGGGGTTGACTTTACTCGAAGGTTTACCACACAATTTTATGCTCTACTCTATACAGAAGAAGAACAAAAAGGTTGTCTGGTGTTTCTTCCATGTTTCCTTCCTCTATGTTACAATTCCTGTGTTTTTTTGTGTGTGTATGTGCGGGGTGCGAGCAGTCCAAAACCTTTGTTTTTTTCCTCTTTTGGGCTGAATATATATCACTTTTTAACATTTTCTTCTCACTCTAAAAATGCATTTTGTTACTCCTCTCTAAAAACCTCCACCAAACATCCAAGAACCTTGATTTCTTACAATCCATGGGGTTTTGATCAATCATCTTTCACAAACCTTAGAGAGCAAAGCAAGAACCTCACTTTGTACGGTGCAAATCAACTTTCTACAACTTTTGATTTTTAGGGTTTCTTCTCTCATCTTCTCCAAAACTTGAGGTAGGGACTTCCTAGAGTTATATATACATGTTTTGCAAGATTGATGTTGATTTTAAAGTTCTCTTGAAGTTATTTTGAAACTTTGATTTTGGCTCAAGAATGTAGAGATTTTTCAAAAGAGGGTTTAAAATGTCAAATGTTTCTAAGTTGATCCTTGAGGGTTTCACCTCCATTATGTGGGAAATGACGTTTGTGTGTGAGTTCCTTCAAAAAGGTGAAGAGATGCCTAATCTTGGCTAAAGAATTTTATTGAGATGAGATGAGAGCCTATGAAATAGGTAAAAATTGTTGATATGTCATAAAGGAAGAACGAAATATATATATATATATATATATATCTTTGCCATTGTAGAAATGATGAAGTTCGTGAAATGTGAAAAGTATTTAGTGCTGTTGAATTAAAACAAAATGGTGAGTATCATGCTTGATATTGGGGGTGTTTGTTTCAGTTTTTCAGAGCCAACTTATGGCTTTTAGCTTTGAAAAAGTTATTTTGGACTATTTAGTTACACTTATTTCAAACAGCTTCTGATTCTAACAGCTTATTTTAACTCAAAAAGGCTGATTCTGAGAAGCTGCTCACCCCTTGCTTCTAATTATCAGCTTCTGCTGTGGACATGTTAATTTATGGTTATACTCTTAAATTTTTTTATTTTTTATTTTTTTAAAAATAGAAAAAGACTCAAATGGACTATATATTATTATTATTTTTTATGAGAAATGTAGACAAACAAAAAATAAAAATTAATTAAAAAAGCTATTTCACAGCTTATTTAACAAACACTACTCAGCAATTTAAATCTATAATCCAACAGCTACACTAAACAGATTAACAACTTCTGATTAAAGTCATAATCTATAATCTGTTAAGGTATAATCTATAAGTTGTTTTAACAGTTACACCAAACGGGACCATTGTTGAAAGTGGAGTGGAAAGTTTGATTACAATAAATCAATGTTGAGGAAGATCGATGATGGAGAAATGTTACATAATGATGATGATTATTGCATTGCATACTCATTCAATTGATTATTACAAGATTGGTATTTAGTTTTTGGCATGATAGTATTGGCATTTCTAGCATTAAATGGCTGCATTGGCTTCTCTAAAATCCTGCATGTCATAAACATTGGATTAGGAATTGAAAATTTTATTAAAAATGAATGATGCGGAACTAAATCATGGAAATGTTTATGGGGTAAATACGTTGGTAAGTCCGGTTAGGAGGTGTAGATAAATTGATAAGTTAGCCTGAGTGTCTGGGGTGAGACCGAAAACACGCGCGGAGGAGGTACCACTTCCCTTCCGATTAGCAACCGGTAAAGTGTGGTTTTTGGTAGTGCTTGTTGAGCCTACTTGCAGACACCAACCTAGGGATTACCTGAGTCATATTTACCGCCCCTATTGATTAAAATTGAAAGTTTCAGAAATTGTTGAGATTGTAAACTATTATTGAAATATGGTGATTTTCAAGAAGAGCATGTAATGAAATTTTCTTTAAAATGGCATTGCATGGCATTTGTATTTGCATTTAACATTAGAAGTTTGCATAACTGTATATACTTTGTAAGGATTCTCTACTAGACTTTATGCTCACCCCTATGGGATTTGGTGCAAGAAAAGATGTGGTGATCCCGCTGAGTTGAGGGCATGGATATATTTTGTCAAGAGTAGAGGACTCTATTTTTTGTTGTGAAATTATATGCTAGCCAAGGGCTTAAATAGATGGGTTCGTGAAACCATTTTTGTGTAACCGGGCTCAAGCCTTGGAATATGTAAGCCCTTAGGGGCATTTTATTTACTTTTGGGATGTAATGCTCTACATGCTATAGATTCATGTGTTTTTCATACCGTTGAATGTATAATTTGCATGTAGAACTTTTGTACGCACTTTATCGATTAATGATGAAAATGTCGGAGATCTATCGTGTTCCTTAATGAATGTTGGCTAATGTATCTAATTTATGTTGGGATATTTCAGGGCGTTACAACAAGAATGCTCTCTCTCTCTCTCTCTCTCTATCTCTGTAGACTGGATTCAAATTGATGTGCATTGTTATTTATTTTGCTTTGGCAATCGAGTTTTATTTTCATTTCAAGGGTTAGTAAATATGGTCCACCTAATTTCTTTGACATATATATGTGTGTGTGTGTGTGTGTGTGTGTATCTGTTAAACACATGTCTTGAATTTATTAGGATTTAAATACTTTTACGAATTCAAAATAATGATAGACTTTATTTATTCATTTGGGTGTGGAATAGTCAAATTCACACGTCATCATTTTCACAATTTGTGTTTTATAGGAAAATGGTCAAATGATTGTATGGAGCAATTTGTAAATGAAATCTTACCTTTTCCGTGTTGCAAAACCCCATTTTTAAATTTTGTAAATGAAATCTTACCTTTTCCGTGTTGCAAAACCCCATTTTTAAATAACAAATGGGGAAATTCATCAATTTATACATAACAATTTCCTTAACTATGAATAATGTGGCACATACATGTTATCATTAGTCTTTAACTCGGTCAGAAAACATAGCATGGATTCGTATACCTCTACTGCAACTTCCAGTACATGGCCACATCGGATGTGTGCCTGTGGCTATGGCCAATGTCTTGTGAAGATATCTAGGTCAACCAAAAATCCACGGCGTGCATACTTTGCATGTCCCTGCCCTGTGGTGAGTGCCCAATTCATTAACGGTTATAACTACATTTCATTTTGAAGCAATTGACTAATAGCTTCTTCATTTTCACTTGTCAGCCCTGTGTCAGTTTAATTGGTTGGTGCGAATAACCAAGGCGACAAAGCACGGACTATGCCTCATCTAGAAAATGACATTGTCATGCAATTGCGGGATGATGTCATACATATTCAACAGTCATTGCGTTTACCTTAAAACCATTGTCTATGTGCTATGCATTGTCGTTGTCATTTTGTTGTTGCGTATGTAAGGAAACTGAGGATGCTGTTAGGATGTTGACTGTTATGACTTTAAGTTTGCCTTGTGTTCCATGACTAGTTGGGGATACACATTAATGACTACTTTCATGTACTGTTTCTATTCCAATGTTTATATTCATTCTGCATGAATGTTGTGTTTGTATTGCTATGTTACATATTGTGCAATGGTTATATAATGTCAAATTTAACATCCAATTTTCGTGTTTGTTTTGCAATGGTACATTGTTCATGTGGCAACCAATTCAAATTATTCTGCTATGGTCTTATATGCATGTATATGACAAACAAATTTGTGATGGTGATAATTTGACCCGTAAATTAGTTGCCTTAGCAGCATGGTTAGTCCAAATGGCTTCGATACGTACTTCTCCTCATACCCAATCAAAAAACAAAGACATTGCTCCAGAGAAGTCAAGCAGTGTGGAAAAGACACACAAGCAGTTAAACCACAAGGCCTCCTAGGATAGTGAGTCAATCCGAATATTCATATAGCTGATTGCCGATGAGATTACAAAAGGAAATCAGCCATTCCTAGTCCTAAGCCAAGTTGGGTACAAGTCGTTGGCAAGGAAATTTGAGGGAAAAAAATAGGAAAAAAACATGGCCTGAAACAGTTGAAGAATAAATACACGAGTCTGAAAAAAGAATGGAATGCTGGGAGGAAATTGATGGATTCTAGCAGAGGAGTGTCAGGGATTGGCTTTGATAGCGAAACTGGTATGTTTCAAGCGTCTGATGAGTGGTGGGACAAGATGGAATCGGTAAGTACAATGTAATTTCCGTATCTTTGTTTCATTTCATGTTTGCCTTTTAGCAATTAATTTTTCCATTTTTTTGTTAGTTAAAATTTCATAGATTGCATGTAATGTTTTCTTTTTTTATCAATGTCCAATTTTGTAGACAAATAAGGCGTGTGCAAAGTTTAGGAAAAAAACTTTGGAACATCGCGAGTTGATGGAGACGATCTTCACAGGGGCATTAGCTACTGGTAAGCACCATTGGACCTCGAGAGAGAAAGTTGTTGAAGCTGCCGATGTCTCATCCAATACTGTGGACAATATCGAAGCGCAACTATTTGTTGATCTGATACCCACACGAGCACAGGACGTGGATTTGGATTCTTCAATCGAACCAGTTCTGTCTGTTAATGAAAAAAGGAAACAAACTCCGTCAACAAGTTGTGGAAAGTCGAAGAAGGCAACAAGTGGAGCGTCAATTATTCCAGAAAGCATGAACAATCTGACAATTATGGTTCATACGCAGAATCAACAAGTTACAGTCAGGCACCTCACAGGTAACGAATCACTGTATACAATTTCAGAGTGCATGCAACGGCTGAGGAACATTCATTCCCTTCTTAGTACGCTGCTAGTCCATTTTGCCTCGACATTGATGGATAACGCAGATTACCGGGAGGTGATAATGTGCCAGCCTGATAACGACCACATTATAGGCTATCTCACACAAAAGCAGCTGCAATGTAGTGTGACAGCACCGTTTGCGAACCTATTCGGGCCTCGCCGGATTTGATATAGCGGTGTGATGCTGAAGATGCGTTCCCTTATCTTGGTTTAAAAAACTTTTACTTACGTTCATGTGAGACTTGTAATAAACAGGATGGTTATGCATGCATTTTTCATATATATATTTTATATTTTCTCGGGTTTGGTGAAGAAATATTTGCATGTTTGTGTAGGTTTTTCGACGATTACATAGGATGGTCGTGTTTTTTTTTTTGGTGGAACAGGATGGTTGTGTTTGATTTTTTTATGGGATTTAGATCCGCAACAGCGGGCTGCCGTGTGTTGCTTGTTTTTTTTTTTTTTTGGTTTATTGTTATGTTATTTTTTTGTTTCTATGGTTGTGTTGGTAATGCAATTGATGTTTTATTGGTTTGTGTATTACCAATTACCATCAGGTTCACTGTTTGTTTATTTGATATCATTTTACATGTAATTGTACCTTATTGTTAAGCTGTAGATCGCCCGAAACTCCGCTCTCCGCACGCGAGGACGCGAATCGTTTTATTCTTAGCTACTATAGTTCGGTCTCGTGTCACGGTTTTGAATCTAATCTCGCAAAGTGCAATGCAAGACTGATAAATCACCAAAGAGTCCAAATTCGACAAATCGTTTTTGGAAAACTGATTTTTAATAAAGAAGTGCCAAACATGGACTGTTTTTCCAGATACAGAGTCGCCACCTAAATGTTTTATTTTGGAAAATTTAGGAAACCCTGACTCGTGCCTAAGGCCACGTGTCCGTCATCATCAAAGTTGCCTCGGCTCGGGAACTTGGGTACGAGAGGGGAAGGTCATGCAATGAGCACCCCCGCTCGCCTGATCAAAGGATCGGCCTTTACTAACATGATATTTTGTTTTTGAAGACACATGTGTTCTTATTCCGGTTATTAGCTAGAATTACTATGCGATGCACACAGCATACAAGTATAAACTAGATCGCCTAAGTTGGAACAAAACATTTCATGCTTGCTTGTTTGAAAATGGTTTGAAGTTTGTCACTAGCAAGTAGGCTAAGTCGTAGATTTTACCACCCTCAAGTGGGCTTAGAAAACATGATTTGCCACTCTCAAGTGGGCTTAAAACTCGTATTTCGATGAATTGTTCCAATTCAAGCAATCCAACCTTCATCCACAGGCATTCATGCAGTTATATCAGTTAAGCAAATAGCCTCATGGAAAGCATGCTAATCATGGCAACACTTACACGCATTCAAGGATGCTAAAGCATAAACACTCACAGTGTACTCCGAGCCAAAGAAAGAAGCTAGTTAGTAATCAATGCATGATCCTAGCTATGTCAAGAATGCCTAATGCAACACATGCAAAAATGCAACAAAGATAAGCTCGGCTATTCTAGGATGTCATGTGAAAGCAACAGTTGATACATGTATTCGAGTAGGAATTGAAATACAATGCAATTTGTATGATGCGCCGAGCCCGGTGCATGCAAGATAAATGAATGATGCAAACATGTAAGCATAAGGATGCTAATTGAAATATGTCCTAAAACTAACCACTAAAAGCAGATAAGTAAAAGGGAGAAAGAAATGGGGGTTGGAAGACATGCATCACACACACGCACGTTTATTACAACAATGCGCCCTCTCGACGGAGGGTCCGAATGAGTATGCTAATGTAATAACCCCGATCCACAATTAGCCACTAATCAGTAATTAAGGATGTTAATGAGTGAATAAAATAAATTATGGGTTTATTATGTGATTTGCATGATATTTGGCTTACTATATGTTACTTAAGAAATATCTGTCTGGAATTCCGCTTTATTATGTAAATTGAACGCCTTGTCAACATCCGAAACCGAAATTGACTACACCAATATGTTATTTGAAATTTTTAGAACCATATGGCATATTTTATTAAAAATTAATTCAGAACGAGTAATTAAGTCATGTTTGGTTAGCCTAATATTTTAATTAATGTGTTTTAGCACCATAAGCTTATATGTAACCCTTAAGCTCATTTGAGCTCATTTCTTTCATCTCCCTTGAGTGGAAAAAATCTGAGAATTCATCTTAGAGAGAGAGAGAGTGCAATTCTAGAGAGAGATAAGAAGAGATTAAGGAGAAATTGAAGGCTTTGACTTGAACTCACCAAGATTGTGCTAGAACAAGAGTAATTCAAGGCTCTAGGTAAGATTACAACCTCTAGATTGTGTAACTAAGTCATTTAACATGAAATTTCTTCAAGATTATGAGTTTGAATGTGTGTATTGAGCTTAGAAGGAAGATTTGAGTTGCAATTCATGCATGCATGTACATTTTCTTACAAATTAAGCATGATTTTCATGAATCCTCTCTTGCATGTTTGAAATTCATCTTCATTTGCAGAAATCAGCAAGTTTCAAGTTGTTTTGTGGTGTTTGATCATGTTTTGAGAAGTTTGATACAAGAAAAATTCATGCATGTTGTGTTCATGAACATTCATCATGTTTTAAGTTGAAATTGAGAGTTTTTAACAAACTCTTGGGCCATGATTTTATGAAATAATTCTTAACTCATCATGTTTTACAAGTTTACTATGTTATCTCAAGTTTTGGGGCCCAAGAGATGTGTTTTGAAGGTTGGAATTCGAGTTTTGAGCTTGAAGGTGCAATCTGGAAATTCCAGAATTTGCATCTACGCTCGAGCGTGGGAGTTCACGCTCGAGCGACCAATTTAAGTGCGTGCACTTCGCTCGAGCGACCAAAAGTCCGCTCGAGCGTGAATTGCAAGCTCCCAGAAGTTTCATGTCTTTTACAGATCGCTTGAGCGAAGGAATGTGCGCTCGAGCGACCATTCACGTTTTGCATGTCCACTCGAGCGAGGAAAGCTACGCTCGAGCGTGGACCTTATTTTCAGAAAAATTGCCTAAGTATTCCAACTCATGTTTTGGCATCCTCATTGCATCTTAAGCATTCCTAAGCCTTATTTAAGCCATAGTAATGAGGTTATGGATTAGAAACACACTAAGGAAAGAATGTACTAAGTTTCGAGACTGCAAGTGTGTGTGTTTTAGGCAATGTGACAAGAAAGTACAAGAACCAATGTAATGAAAGCTAAGCCTTAATGGCCACTTGAATGTGTAATGATAAGACATGCTTGTGTTATGTATTTTGTAATTGTAAGTCAAGACTCGAGGGTTGATTGACCATTGCTGGAACCACTATGAGTAACATTTCTGTAAAGATATGTTGATATGAATTATGTTCCAAATGAAATGTGATAAGCTATGATTTCTGAAATGATATCTGTTTACGTGAACGAACATTCCAAGTTTGAAATCTATTATGGCATCCATAGATAGTCCCAAGTCATGGGGGACGGCATGGAAATGCGGGTCCATGACATACAAGTAATTACGAGATCTCGTTAGCCACTTCATTGTGGTGATATGTGTTTAATCGGTATCCAGAACCGATTACTCTAGTCGGAAGACGTTTTGTGATGTGTTCTATGGGATGTACCATTATTATGTTCTGATATGAAAATGATTATGCTCTGTTCTGTTTTTTGCTTATGATATATTCAGATTTCGTTCACTAACCCCTTTACCTTAATATTATTCATTGGGCTTTAGCTCATTGTGTGTATATATATGTATAGGTGAGCATTCTGGAGCCCGAGCCTGAAGGCTTTTGTCTGGATCTGTGTTCTGTTGTCAACCAACCATTGTGCCTCATGTGGAGGTTCCCGAAGTGTCCAGTGTTTAAGTTCTGTTGTTTCTGTATATATAAGACTCATTTGTTCTGTTGGCTGTACTTAAAATACTGTAATGTGTATGGGTATAATGTATGGTTGACTATCGGTTATGTCTATAACGTTTTAAATATTCTGTTTCATATAAGTCAGCACAGCTCATTGGATAACTATATTTATGTATTTGCTTCCGTTAGCCCCTTAACCTTGTTAATCTGTTTAGAGGCCTTCGGTAATCCAAGGATTACTGGCCGGTTACGATGCTAAACCTATAGGGGCGGATTTGGGTCGTGACAGCTAAGCTAGCTATGCTAAACTATTCTAACTAATCTAATAATCTAATTAGACTAATTAAATAACTAGCTAACACTAAGCTAATTATTACAACACGTTAACTAATTAACAAATTAGCTAGTTTAATTACAAATTCAAAAGTTAACTAACAAGTAAAGCTAATTACAAATTACAAAGCCTCAGCTCAGTTCTAAGAGTTCGAAGATGCATGCTCGATCACCTCGCTCAGAAATCCGTTACCATGCCTCATGTTGCCTCTGTTTGCACACTTCTGCACCTCTGAAAATTATGCCAACTTCAATATGCTTCTGACCTACCTTATGAACATACTGAGGGGTGGTCGGCCAAGAGGAATGGCCATCGGCCAGAGTTTATGTCTATCGGCCAATTTTGATAGCCGATCGGCAGCTTTTGATGGCCGGTCTGCAGATTTGATGGCCGGTCGGCCACTGATTCCTGCAATTTCTCCTTTTTGCTACAACAGAGCACAAACAAGGGCATGGCAATGTATTTGCAAGGTATGTATGCACAACCACCCTCCCTATCGTTTCTCAAGCTCAAGGGAGTGTGGTACTCGACTCTCGAGCCATCAATCACGCATCTCAATGCATGATGGCCAAAGAGTCAACCTTGCACAAACTCAATAAATGCATGACAAACAAGACACTTGGACCATCACCTTATCATGAATAATCAAAGGCAATGGAGACAAAGGGGATTGGCCCATTTTCATCACTTCAAGTATGAAATAGACCAATTCACTTTGTGTTCAACATAACGTCCAGTTGAACACAATGCAACGCACACATGCAACATGCTTATCTTGGCACATTTTACTTGATTGATTTTGTTTACACATTTTAACATTACCAATCCATTCATTAATCAACTTGTCCAACTATGAGAGTCCTCTAATGAGAGAGAGGTCTATCAAAGAGAATGGTTTAGGGCATGGGAGAGGCCAATGCCTTTGACTAGGAGTAACCCTCAAAAGAGGGTTGAAGCCATTTAAACATAGGCCTCAATCCAAAGCATTAAGCACAACCTCAAGACTAACCAATCCTCAAAATAAATCAAAAATGAAGAAATAAGGGAGATGGCAGATTTTTCAGTGCTAAAGTGGCATGATAAACAAGACTCTAACATGCAAACACTTCAAGTACAACATGCTAGTAGGCTTAAACATTGAAACTAGTGAAGAACACAACACTAGAACCATGCAATACAAGGCTCAATGGACTAAACTAGCTCTAGACAAAGCTTAATCACATCAAAATAATGGCCTGAACATGCTGGAATTGAAGCTCAAAAGGCCAGACAAACATGCGCACAAATTGGCTCACAAGCACGATATAAGGCATAACTCCCAAAAGCACTTAAAGAGTGATTTAAGTGGAAGCATGGAAAAGATATAAGCTCTGAAATTTCATACAAAATGTTTCCATA